TTGTGAAACTGTGCGTTACCATTAAACGCGCTTTTTATTATACGAACTTCGTTTTTCCTCGTAATTTACGTTACACAATAATTTTGATTTGTCGGAGAAAGAAGTTTCTGTTTCACGAGCCAATTGTTACTAGAAAATATAAAAGCCGACGCGACGCTTTGCGCGATAATGATGGTCTCGCGATGCATTTTTCCATTTTATTCAATTTTTGCAAATTCTGCGTTTCTTTTAAAAGCGTAGATTTTAATGGATTACAGCGGCATGGTATTTAAAATTAATGTGAAACAACAACTTACATCATTACGGAGTCGTATTAGACTGCAGAGCGTTAATTATAGATGAATATTAAATTTCTGCTAATATTAAATAGTGAAGCGCGCGCAAGAGATAGCTCCCATCTTCCTTTCTAAGGGGCGATTTCATTTTCGTAGACGCGGAAACTTTAAAGGCGAGCCAGAAACATGTACGTGGTCGCGTATCGAGTGAGGAAAGCAAGGAGGTCGGTAAAGAGGGCTGAAGCAGCCCTCTCACCCACCTCCTCCCTCGAGCGATGAAACTATAAACCCACTCATAGTAAGTTGTAAAATTGTAATAGCCTTCCGGTATTTACATAATGCTACGGCGTAATAAGTGGAACTCGCCGAGTTTCCATTACCATTCCGCCGCTATCCGCACTTATCTCTGCTAACGACCCGAGGGGGCCCTGCTCTCCCCCGCGTTCTTCTCGTGACTTGTATTTTTCCACCTTATTCTTCGTCGGGCTAACCACGGCGAGAAGCAGCCCACTCCGTCGTCTGCAACTCCATCTTTTGTTCGCGTCGGGCCTCTGCTCTGCTAAAATTCAACCGCTTATTCCGCTAGCAGCTATAAGTTGATTCTCTCTGTTATCCTAAGCCAAACGCACGGATTTATTAAACGCACGTAAGAAGCCAACGATGATCGACAGCTGGGGCATCTATCCGTTTTCTATTCATATCGCATGATAATTAAAAATGCAAAAGAGGTTATTGTCTCTGTCTTGGGAAAAAAATTAACTTGCATATATAATACTTGTTTATATACGTACATGAGACAGAAGTTGAAGAAAATTCTAAAAATTCCAAGTATTCTGATGTACATGATATTAATAGTAATCAACAGCGTTCTTTTTATTATATACGTGAGTCAATAAGTAATCTTTATATCACCTTGATTTTTTAGAGCAAAATTAAGGTTACTTGTTGACTCACTTATCGAATTATTTTATGTTTCACTTCATTTTTGAACTGTTAATAAAACTGTTTGTCCTGTATAACAAATGGGAACAATAGAGATTTTGACAGAAGTCTACCTAGTTTTCACAACAATGTGCTCATTATGCGGTTGGCAAAATGCAAAACTAGATTTCGTTTGTTGGTGGAGAATATGAGGAAAGCCGAAATCCTGCTTTCACTGAAGAAGAAGAGAGGAAGCTGCAGAGCGGTTTCATTGGAATAAGTGGCCTCCTTGGTTAAAAGTTCGCCTTCTTCCGTCGTTTCTCTCCTTACCTTGTCCATTCATGATAACATCCTTCTTTATTCCTGAGTACTTTTCTCCCTCTTTCTCTTTGCTATTTTCTCCTTGCTATGAGCCTCTCACCGATGAAATCGAGGCGAATCGTTTATTTAATTTTCGAGAGATCCTGCCATTTTATTTTTATTCTCAGGACTTTATACACTTCGTTGATTAACCCACCTCGCGAAAGAAACCTGCCTCTCTCATTCCCTTCCAGACAAGGACGTCGGAACGAAGAAAGCTGTGAGTTTGCATGGGATTTTGAAGAAGGGTTAGAGACGGAGAATGAGAGCGGGGAAGGCTCGAGTTCAGGAGCGCGCAGGGTGGAAGGACTCGCGTCCTCCCGGGGGTTTGCGTTACTCACCGGATATAGAGATGTCTAAGCCCAGCCATCACTGAAATTGCCAGAGTTTACCTCTTCCGCCCTTTCCGCCGCGCTCCATCTTTTACCTCCTCTCCCATCTTTCTTTCTACCCCGATCGTGCTTTCCTTTTCTCAGCATGGAACTTCCGCCCGTAAAATGTTCGACTCCTGCCTTTCATTCCCCGGCTCGTTCGCCCGCGGCTTTATTACAATGCGATTGTATTATCAAGATTTCAAGACTAAAAGTATCGGTCTTTCTCTGAGCTCTTCTCCTTTCAACTTCCTTAAGCTTCTCATATTAATCCACCTTGTCGGAGCTGATTTCACGGAGGAATCGATGAATTTTTTTTATTAAATTATTTCACAATGTTTATCCGAATATTAATGATTATATTATAGTTCAGTTATTATGCTATTGTTTTTATTTTACTTGATCCATCAGATGCTATAAATAAATTCTTCTTCAAACCTTTATTTATGCAAATATATTCGTACACGCATGCGTGCACTATGTAAACACGCAAAAACGTATAAATGAAATGTATAGTTCATTAAATAAAGAAAGAAAAATGAGGCGTTTTAAACATTTGTTATATAAATAAATGATGAAAATACTTCTACTAATTTTTATACAGATATTCTCCGTATAACACGATATATCTACAACACAAGTTTTGTTCTAACACAAACAGAGAATTGAGGTCTTGATGATACGACTAAAGGATATATTCAAGAATTATTAGTAGATAAAAAGATTGATGAAGCATTTGGTTGAAATTGGCATGTAAATCATCACAGCTCAAAGAACAATAATACAAATGAGAATTCTGAAGTTTAAAACTTTATTCTAAAAAATATATAAAAAGGCATAAATTTAGACGAGCAATTGAAATTTTATTTTTGAATGTGAACTCTTCCACTGAAAAAAGAGCTAAGAAAAGAGAGTTTCACAAATATTTAGCTCCATATTATGAAATTTACTTTTCTTAAAGAAAAGTAGCAAATCAAAATTACAGATATTTTTAAAAAAGCCAAACATTAAAATTTAGATGTTTCAGACACACCAGGAGATGAAGACATTTTATAACCAAGAAAACACTATCGTGTTTAATTTTATAGTGATGAGGAAGAAAACTATTTTGCGCGTGCGTTATTTAATTTTAAATTGATATATATATAATATGTTAGATTAATTATTATTATTTTTTAATAAACATTCCTCAGAGTTATAAAAATAGAGTAATGTATATTTATAAGTTTAGTTTTTGTGACACTGTTTGTTGTATTGTAGTTCTTGGTTTTGTCAATACGATTTTGTACATTTTTTTCTAATTATAAGAACTCAGTGAAACCTACATATAGCTTGATTAAATTCAAATTATAAAATATAGTAATCATTTTTAAACTTTATGATTTAGGTATTTCTTGGTACAAAATAGCACTCTTTTAAATCATAGTTAAAGTAGATTTGAGTTATTGAGATCTAACTTTACCACCGGTTGTGTTATACGGAGGATACATGCATCTTAAAAATTCATTAGAAAATTTTTATTGGAACCTAAATCATATAGTTTACAAATGATTACTGTATGCTATAATTTGAATTTAACAGAGTAGCATGTAGATTCCTATACGAAAAAAATGGTTCTGTTGAAGTATCTAAAAGTTTAGCTAAGTCTAAAAATAATCTTGTTGGAAACATCAAAATAATTATGTAAGACGTTCAAACTAATTGATAAAATGTCAAAGCTTTTCACAGCATTGCTTATCATGCTCGAGATTCTTATATAATTATTTTAATAGTCCAATAAAGTTATTTCAGATCTGTATATATCTACATAAATTTGTAGATACTTTTGCAAAATTATTTTTTCCCTACAAAAATATCGTGTCATATAAACATTTTCACACACATTGAAAATTTTTATTTCTTGGTACATTCTATTGCTTCATCATCAAGTATGTGATGCGTGTGTATATGTGTAATCGATTAGAACGGTCCTTAAATATTGATTAAAAATTTCTCGTGATCTCTATTTCTAATTCATTGGTTATATTATCATACCACACTGATATCCGCCGTAGTTCCCGATGCGTGGGTAGTAACGTTCAATATCTGACGGGAGACGCAAGGAATATCGGAGATCGAAGATGTCGAGTTCGTATGTGGTTTGTAATTGCATCAGATGCAGGATAGTGTTTCGGATTCGCCGTGAACAACTTTAAAAGAACGAGCAGTGCTTGTCCCGATATTGCAAGACACTTCTTCACGCTTTCGATTCACAACACGCACATTCAATATGAATCTGCGATAAACAAGCGCTTAGTAACATTTCTTCCGATTTTGACCTTGACTTTTAACGCGTCCTTCTCAGGTTTCATTCCTTAAAGCATGATCTGATAATTTCTAGTAACACTCTCTATCCTTCCACTTTTCTTCTTTTTTCTTTATAAAATTCTCAATCGACTAAGAGAGCAAATCTTGTATATTCTTTTTCATATTTTCTAAATTTTATGAAAGTATGAGTGTTTTCTCCTTCGTGTTTATGTATTGGTATGTTATATTGAAGCGTAAGTTCGGCTGTTAATAATGCACCTGTGTCGATTATTTACGACTTTTCTGTCGATAACCAGACAGGTATGGAATATGAAGGACTAAAAGCAAGAACACCGCGCGTGGAGGAGGTTACTTGGAAATGTCATAGCACATCGAGACACAAATCATCTATATTTGATAAATTCTTTATCAATTTTTTTAGTATACGATCATATTGCGTTGAAAATTTTATTTCCTTTCCTGGAACATTGTTAGTCGTGTTACTGCTCATTTTTTATCTATTTTTCGAAAAGAAAAGAACTGTATTATCTTAAAATAAGAAATAAAATATTAGGACTTACAATTAAAACTATAAAAACGAATGTTCGCGCAAGAGTAAGAAAGAGTAAAAAAAGCGCAGTATTTTTTTAGTGTGTAATAATCATAGTAACAAATGTATTCACTTCTTTATTACATATATAAGAATTGATTGTATTATCTTAATTTAAAAAAAAAAATCATTTCAAGATATAAAAGTAATATTCCTCTTTTCTTTGTTACTTTATAGATGGTGACAAGGACAAAGAAGATCTTCGTCGGGGGATTATCGGCGCCGACGACGCTGGAGGACGTCAAAAATTACTTCGAACAATTCGGTCCGGTAAGTATAAAAATTTATGTTATTATATTACATTGCTTCTCATTGTAAAGTTAAAATTGTTAACCCGACGGACTTTGTAACCCTTAATACACACCTTTGGATCATTCGTGTCTTGCGCATTTCTTTTCTTTGAAATACTAAGGCCCAGTTTCACAACTGACGGTTAACTCTTAACCGAGGTTCAACTTATTCATTATCTCTTTTCAATTCTAGAATTGGAAAAAGATGAGAAATAAGTTGAACCTCGGTTAAGAGTTAACCGTGAGTTGTGAAACTGGGCCTAAGAGCACCTGGTCAAATACGGGTCTCTTTTCTATTTCTAAAAAAAGTTTGGCATCTAGAAAACAAGTTTTGTTTGTTTATCGGCCTCAATTCATGCATATCCTTTAACTTAAAATAATTCCGAAGTTCACCTCTCTGGGTCACAAACGACCCATCGTGTGTATAGAGTGTACATTTTTGTAATTGAAAAAAAATTTTTTTTTCTTTATTTTTAATTAATTCTCGTTTGTATCGCGGGAATATTTTGCGAATTATTAAAAAAAGAATTTAATTCTAGAACAACATATATATTAGCTCTTAATAAACACATTGGTTTTTGGTGATAAATGTTGTTTGTAATATTATATATTACCCGTATTGTTTCTAATGTTATAAAAAAACATTTTCCTAATAAATTATAAGTCTTTTTAACACAATAGCAATAATAAAATATATTGCTTAAAATGTAAATGCAATATATTTTCAATTTATAGCTATTCATGCATATTAAAAAAAACATCGTTTTCAGGTTACTAAATAACTAAATTTTTTGGACACCCCCACTTGAACTATTTTTTCCTTTGTAGTTTGAAATGTCAACTTTAAGATATTGAAATATATTTTTCTTTAAACATTTTTATTTCCGCGAGTTTAATATTTTTGTTTCAGCGTTTAACATTTTTATTTCAGAGTTTTACATTTTTGTATGAAAAAGTGCATTTTTCTCATTTTGTTAACTATATGTAATTGTAACAATTTATATACAATTTGTAATAAATATACAACTTTACAAATACTTTCTAAAGATGTCAAAATACGTAAAAATCGTTTAATAATTTTTATTTACTTGTAAAAGTGATGAAAATTAATCCAGAACACGAATGACCGAACGTGTGTAGTAAGGATGCCCAAAATTGAGGTGTGTATACTATTTAATAAAAATATCGCGCAAATATGAAAAAACATGATTTTTTGAATTTTTTGATAAATTGCATTTTTCAGTAATATAACCTTTTTTTAATGTATCACGTATATATTTAATATACGTATATATGATTGGCAACGTTAAAGTCTAACAAGAAAATTTTCCAAGAAATCTTTTTATGAGGTTTCATATACATAAGAGCCGTATTTACCATTATTCATATGTATTGTTTCAAATTTGTAAAATATTCCATATAAAATTGGTTATGTATCAGTATTATATAACATATCGCTACTTTCTGCTGGAGCAACGTGAACAATATCATTGACTATCATTTTAGTTGGTTACATTATCGATGTATTGCACATCCTCACCATTTCCTCTCGTGTCGCAAAATCGAGCGGCACTGTCGACGACTGTGATTCATGGGATTTACATTGTTTAGTACTTTTGCATATTTTATTGGCCATTTCGCGCGGAACGCTATTGATTTTTGGACGAACAAGTGCACTCATTTCCATTTACACGACGTCAACGGCGCGCGACGACAATTCTGCCTCGCTGCAGTTCCCATGAATTTTGATCGTTATGGCTTATAACAGTGATATCGAGGTATCGCTATTTGGATTGTTTCAAAATGCGTGACATAATATTATTCACGTGCGAATGATTTCATTTGCTCTGGTTGCCTAACTTGTTCATGGATTACAGAAAATCAAGCTTTGTTAATCTAATTATCGTGAAATTGCATATTTAACTTTTGTTTTGTCTTTCATAAATTAAAGATTCTTTGACGTATATGTCGTGTAAATTGGTTTAAAAAGTTAAAGCTACAGTATATTTGTAAAGTATTTTTGTTTTAAGGTATCTAGTTCAATTAGAAGAAATTTATCGAATTTGTCGTATGTTCTTTGATTTATTTTCTAGAAACTAATTTCTTGATAATCAAAATATGTCAATATCATAAATTCTCTTCGACAATATTCTTTTCGATAATAGTGAAACAATTCGATATCGCGTGAAAAGTTTATGTAAAGAATTAAAATATTGGTTAATATCCCGGAAAGACATTCTGACAGAAAATATTTTTACGGCTCCATTTAGAATGTAGATCGGTCTCATGGAAATTTCAAATGACAGATTATGTGGTTAGAAACTGAGATCCACCTCTCTCTCTCTCTCTCTCTCTCTCTAAAACAAAAATTTCAGTTAATTAGCTTTTATTGGTCCTTGAAAAATTTTTAGAACGTATTATTGTGTGGGTTTCTTCATCTCAGTTACGACGATTCATCGAGTTTGGAGAGCTGACAAATAGAATACATGCTCGATATTCGATTCTAATTCTGGCGCGGTTGCTCTAAATGATTTGTCATAAGGAAGTAATAATAAACGATTCTAATAAGCAGAATAAAATAGTAGTTAATAAGTTGGAAATTTTCAGTTATCTCATTTCCGAGCTAAAACTGTATCGTAAAATTAATAGAATCGTTACAGCTCTAAAATAAAGTTATCACCGCTTTAATCATTTTAGTTCAATAACGAGAATTATTTTCGACAAGCCAATTATTTTACTAATATGTCTTTATTATTGTTGTTCTCTTAGTGATATATTCATAATTTATAAATAGACAATAAAAGTGTAAAAAAATGTTTTTCTTCAGTATCTATAAATAAGTTCTTACAATATGTAGTATTATATAATGAAATTAAAAAAGTGAAATGATAAATATGGTAGTAGAAATAATTGTCAAATGCTATCATTTTTCGAGTGTGTTTAAATTGCAAATAGTATAATAGCAAATAGATTTTACTGTTGATACTTTGATCTGTAATGATAATTTGGATTACTTTAATACAATAAAAACAAGTATGCCATTGCACGCATGAAGATGACGATAATGTCTTTCCATTACGGTGAATCAAATTCCTTGTCACGGTCAAACGTGCATACTGCGCGGAACACTAAAGTCTGCAATGGAGCAATCGTCTACAGGGAGAACCGATGTCGCTTATCATCGAGGACGGAGGGATCGAGATAGGAGAGAAATTCGGCATCGCCGAATGGTCGCATAATAAGACGGTCCCGGGTCGTCCGTTGCAGATGCAGCCGGCGGATATAGAAATTTATTGGAAAACTTGGTCGATCCCAGCCGGCAGGGAATATATGCCCGGCTCTCAGGTGACACGACGTGGTTCCGAAGGATCGAGGGTAGTGGAGTAGGGTCGGCGGATGAAAGAAGAGGGAAAAGAAAAGGAAGTCGGACGTACGACACATTTGTTCGCGACTCGTGGCACGAGCTAGAAGCCTAGAAATGGAGTTGAGATATCAGAGCTCGCTGCTATCTCTATCCCGAAACCTACCCCTAATTCGAATCCACCCCCTTTTCTCTCTCTCTCTCTCCCTTTCTTTTCTTGCTTCGTCTCTCTCGTTCTTTACCGAAAGTCCTCCATTCGGTTTTCAATGCAGAGTTTCCGGCTCGTAGCGGCTGGACTTCTCCGTTCTATGTGTGTGACCCACATTGGAGATACCATCGGGCGTGAACGCGCGCGCTGGCGGACGTACATGACGCCATTTCGGAATTCGACTCCTACGTACGGTGCATGTACGTGGGTATACACAAGTTCGTGTCCACGCCCACGTGCATCCTAACGATGAGCGTACACGATCGTGTGCTGTGCGCACACTTGAACGACTTTCGCAGGCCGAACAAAAGTGAAGGACGGAAATTTAGAGCAGCACCATTTGCAAAGTATGATCAGAGTATGTTTTCTCTACACGGCAAAGTACAGGCTGACTATTTTATTACTGTTTTACCAAGCTTTCGCGTTTGATAATGCTTGATGATGTACGCACGTGCTCGTATCATATCACGCGAAGAATTACCATTTGCGTGTTTCATAAATTTGATAACAGCCTGAAAAGCTTCTGTTTTTCGGTACAGCTACTAATGTTGACGATCTAGGGCGAGTTTGCGACCATGAGTCTGTAAAACATGTTCGTGCCTGGAACGTAATCACACAAGTGTGATGAAAGTCCTGCTGTAACTTGTATCGCGCGTCGCGTCGGTTTCATCGAGTCAGTTCGATGCTCCATCTCGTTAATATCTATCTGATTTCACTTTTGCTCCGCGAAAGCACGAGAGAGGAGAGGGAATGCTAAAGCGGGAGAGTCCTGTCGATGAAATAGCTGGACCACGAGGCAACTGATAAAGCTAATAGCATTACCGGGAAATACGTTACACTCATTCGCGTTCTGGCTTATAAAACTTTTTAGGAACAATTTTTATTTTAACACTCGTACAACGTATTCATGGTTGAGAGATTCGTGTATATTTTTTACGTTCTTATTTATTAGTTCTATTTTAAATAAATTGTTGAAATATTTTAACACTTTTTTTACACATTCAATGAATTTTTTATCTCTCGATTAATTAAGGTCTTAATTTCATTAAATTATTATCCGCGAAAATAAACCTGCCATTTAATATCTTTTATTTTTAAAACAACGATTTTTTAATAATAAAATTAAAGATGTGTTTTACGCTTATTTTATAAAATGATAAAAAAAGTTACATACATTTCTATATTATAATACAAAATGAAAATTATAATACAAAAAGATTGGCGGTGATTTAGAACCTAGATCAAAAATTATTTTAATAAGAAATAGATATATTTTTAAAATATAATTAAGATAGAAAAAGGAAATTTTTATGTAAACTATAAAATTATTAAATATAAATATTAATCTTATTGAATTATTTCATATATATAATATTTTTATACAGAAAATATGAATCCCAGTTATTTTTTG